GCCCTGTGCCCGGCCCGGTCCCGGCCTCCGGCCTCGGCGATCGCGGCGGCGGCGGCGGCGGCTGCACCGGAAGTCGAGCGCTCGGCCAATCGCCGCCCGCGCTGACGTCAATGCGCCTCGCTCTCACTGCGGGCGTCACCCCGGCAACCTTAAAGGGGACGCGGCGCGGCCCCCGCACCTCCCCTTTAAGCCTCGCCCTTCCCCCCTCCTTTTAAAGGGGAACCTCCCGTCGCGGGGTGGGGCCGGGGGGGAGGAGCGGCCTCCCTGTGAGTACGCCAGGAGTATGGACCCATTCCCCGGATGGGAAAACTGAGGCCGGCGCATGCCAACGCACCCCCCCAGCGCTGGGGCTGGGTATTGGGTGCCCCGGGGGGATGGCTGCTGCTCCCAACGTCTTCATGTATAGCCGAGTACTAAGAAAACAGAACCCCGAGGGTTATTTAATGAGCTCCCCGACTGGAAACGAAGCTGAGAATCCACAGGGGTTTTTCTCACACGATTTCACACTGTTCACAGGCCCGGCGCCAGCAAAGGATGGCTTTTCCACCCGGATGGTCTCTGGTTTTGCCCGTGGAGCTTCAGTTTCTCAGGTTTCTGGCCCAAAACTGAGTCCAAATCCATACGTGGCAAACTTCCTCCATGCCCATCTGGGGCTTCAAATATTTGTAAACCCTCTGGCGGGCGTCCCAACACCTTGGTGGGTACCAAACATTTTTAGCGATCCCTGGGAAACTGCCTTCCTGGCCCAGGATGCGTGCACACTGCACAGGTCACCCAAACGCCACCCCCGGGAGCAGCCCGGGCCGAAGGCCGCAGCACGACCGCAAGAGTCGCGTTTGCAGTTGACTTGAAAACTAAATTCTGCTTGGCTTTCACGAGCAACCCTTCCAGTTCTCCGAGAGCCGGCCGAATGCGTCGGCGCTGCTTAATTAAGATAAAATGCAATCGTTTCTGTATTACCCTGCAGGTGTCAAGTCCGATGTTGGGAGAAATGCAAAGCTGGAAGCAATCCGCTGACGTCCGTGGAGTCTCTCTTGTCCAGAGGAAATGACTGCAACTGAAAGCGATCTCAAAGCCATTTGCAAGCAACAGATCGTAATGGATTGTGAAACGCAACTAAACTAGTGAGACCTGCCTCGACCGACCGCACAAGGAATCCAAGTCAGTCGCTTCGACGATGCTGCTCGTGAACTAGTGGGTTGCACTCCAAACCTTGAGGATATTTCGAAGAGCCCGTTTAAGACAATGGTGCTATCTGCAATGGCACCGATTTCATGGCTGCTTTTAAAACAAAGAGGGTTTTGGATGTTTTTGCTGGATGAAGGTGTCCATTTGTGTTCCTTGACTCTGGATCGTTAAAGCCTTCAAAAAGTCATTTGGGCTCTCAAGAATGCTGCAGCCTGGCACTAAGAAGCAGCCAAGAAGAACAGATAAGGACTCTGAACCCTTGGTCTGATGATCCCATATCAATAAGAACTTCACTGTTCTCATTGCTCCCGGGAATGCTGAAAATAACATTTCCCCAATTTAACCCCATTGAAAAGACAAGTGTTGCACCCTACAAATCTAAACGCCCCAAGATTCGCAGTTGCACCAAATCCCCAATTTCTTTTAATGCTTTTGCTGTTGCTTCTCAGACCCTGTTTCCATGGGGCTGCTTGAGAGCACCAGTGCTGATCTGTTGCCAGGCGTTGCTGACAGGTTATAAAGAGACCCCTGGATTCAGATCTCTGGAAGTTGGAGCAAGTGCAGACCCAGGCCTAGCTCAGATTAGGTCAGTAATAAACTGTATGGAAACCACATGAGAGCTCTAGGAGTTTCAAGCATGGATCCAAAGCTAAAGTTTGATCTTCAGAGTTCAAGTTCATTAGTTCAGAGGTGTCATTAAGGTTGGTGCCATTAGAATAGATTACAAGCAGTGGATCAAATATGCACACACCGTGGAGTAGATTACAAGCGGTGGATCAAATATGTACACACCATGGAGTAGATTACAAGCAATGGATCAAATATGCACACAGCGTGGAGTAGATTACAAGCGGTGGATCAAATATGCACACACCTTAGAATAGATTACCAGCAGTGGATCAAATATGCACACACCGTGGACTCTCATGGGTCTTTTTTTTTCTCATTTAACTCCTACAAGTTTCCCTGCGCTGCAAATGGTTCTTTCTAAAATGGCATTTTGGTGCTATTTCACTGGCTTTCAGCAGTTGCCACCTTCCAGCCCTGTGCATTAGGACACGTCCTTGCATAGCTTTGGGGCAGATCCCATATCCTGCTATGCCTGGAACAAAGATCGAGCCTATAAGTAAAACTTGTCCTGCCGCATTCTCTGATCAGGGAAATGGCGGCTTTATTCTACAGAAATGGTGCTAATGGCTCCACGCCGCTGCGGACGTAGACGGTATCAGGTGCTATGTCACTACATGCAGCACTAGGCATGGGAAGCTGTGTGGTTTTTCACAGAGTCTTCCCAAAGTGAAACCGAGCTCCTCCTAGTTGCGTGTTCTTGGTGCAGCTGCTTCTTAATCACAAGTCAGCAGAGGCTTTTCTGTGACCACTTCTCTTCCGCACTCCTAAATGCACACTCATAAATGTGGCTGTGTTGGGGCCCAGTAAATCTGTCCCTCCAGTCATCTCTAAGAAACAACTCCTATAGGGCCAGCCTACACTACAACCCAAACCGACGGTGCCTCAGCTTTATTGCTAAATACGAAACATTATTAATGAACCACCTGGATACACGGTCAGCGCTGAGCCTATACCTTGGGGTTCAAATGGTGTTATCCTATCTCCTTCCTAACCCACCCTTTGCCTGGAGCTTCTGCAGCGGGGCAGGATGGGAGAGCGGCCCAGATTTCCTGCCGACGCAAGCCCAATAGCTCTGCAGACACCAGTCAAGTGCCATGTAGTAGTGGGGAGGTAATAGTGTTGCGCAGGTGTTACGGGACCACCTTTGCTGCAGCTTTGCCAGAGCAGCACACTTACATTGAACACGGACCCTGGCAAATGGCTTAGCTAGCTCCATTTCACCTCCTGGCAGGGCATCTACAGCACAGCTGTACGATGTGGATTTTGGACAGAGACATGGGGCAGCCTTACAGGACCCACGCTGGGAACAAACGTGCATTAGTGCAGATGCCTCAGTTCGAGTATCAGCCGGGCTGCAGATCCTGCTTTCCCCACATTGGGAAATACCAGGACAGAATCTCATCCTGGAGGAGATCACATCAATTCCCAGGGGCCATGAATCATCACGTGCTGCACACTGCTAGTAAAGACTTGTGGATTTCCAAGCACTAATTGTTCTAGTCTTTTTTCCGAGGAATACTGCTCCAGGGGTGGAATTTCCTAGCAGTCTAATGGCCTTTTGTGGCTGAAGAGAGACTGCCAGGCAGGGGGGGCAGCCAAATTCAACCCTCAGGCAACTCCACCAACATCAGCCAGGTTACCCCGAGGCTGGAGTTAGCTCTGTACACGAGCTGGATTTTTCTCATGCTCTCACAACACTGAAATGAGGGAAAGACTAACAGCCACGGATCTAATTGCACATCAACATAGCTAACACTTCCCATCTGATGCTCTCATATTCCCCTCACAGCCCTATGAAACTGCTCTCAAACACCCGCCTGCTGCTCAGTGGAAGCGACTGGGAAGATGGGCCAGATCCTCATGGGGCAGACATGGGTAGCGGATAGGAAGGGGGTGCATCCTGCAATGGGCAGGGCAGGGGACACACCTCGCAATGGGGCTGCTGGTCTCCTCCATTTGGAAAAGGCGAGCTCACAGAGGAAAGCACCGGCAAACACCCCTGGCAAGGAGGGCAGACTGAGCACCAAGATACCAAAATTGGGGGTCTGGACTCTGAAGTCTTCATGCCCAAGGGTTTCGTGCTTGGCTCCAGACATGTACTGGATACACTTCCAGATTCCTTTCCTTACACTGCTGGGAATCCTCTACCCATTCCCCATCTGAATCCCTTAATGTCTTGTTGGGTTTTTAAACACAGTAAAATCAAACTCCTCTGTTTTCATCTCTGCCCGTGTCCTTTTCTGCCTCTTCATCCCTTCCGCACCCCGGTGCCACCAGGTCTCTTCTCTTGCTGAGCCTTTGATCTTCGTTTCCTACCGCTGGCTTTGTCCTTTCTGCTGTGACCTGTGCCGGGTTCACCCAAGACTCCCCCAGGGCCTGGCACTTCTCCTCTCCTCTCTGCTTCCTCACACCCCTTCCTGCTTCACTTTCCTCCCGGTGATCTCTTCACACCCTCTATTACTGTCCAGTGCTGGCACATTTACAGTGGCATAAAAATGATTGTAATAGCATTAGTTAACATAAGCCTTTCAGGAAAGCCTTATAAAATGCTGCGTGCAGTCAGGACACTCAATGCTTCCCAAAGCCAGTATTATTTTACAGGACTTAGCAGTTGGGGGATCTCTTGGTATAGCTAAGAGTATTTTTCTGGCCCCCATAACAGACATTTCAATACAGATATGACTTACTAAAAAGGAAGGGGACAAAACCAACAGGGTCAGGATGGTGAACAAAGGACAGGAGTCACTCCATGAAGGCATATGAGAGGGTTAGGAAGCACATCTGTAGCAGCTGGTCTTTTCCTTGGTATATATGGAATGGCAGCCAGGCTTTAACAGGAGGTGTTTATGGCAGGAAACAGCTACTACTAGGAATGCAGCCAGATTTCCACAATGCTTAAGTTCCAACTTTTGCAGCTTTACTTACTAAGGTGCTTCTCTATAAAGCCAAGAGAGATGTCCACTGCCTAGATATCACCAGGCCAGGAACATTATTTCTTCAAACTGCAGTATTTTGCAAGGAATGGAGGTGGAACAGTGATGTGGGTTTGGGAAGACCAGGGGATAAGGACATGGAAAAGGAGGTTTTCCCTGCTCTGGATGCTCAGGAAAGAGAAAAGGGCAGACCTCAGAGATATTTTGAAGAGGAGGTAGGATTGGATATAGTCTGACGGTGCATGCAATAAAGAATTGTACTTACAAGCAGCAAGAGTGTTTGATACGAGAGCCCATGAAGTGGAGTGGCCCTAATACATGACCAGCGGTGGCCAAGATGACAGAGTTTTCTACATGGTAGTCCTTAACCACCTTCAGCTTCAAGGAAGAAACATGGCCAATGGATCCAACATGCCCCAACATGCATCACTTCTCATTTTGTCTGGATGAAGATGTGTGCGGACAGTGCAAGCAATTTATGGCCCCAATAACACAACTGTTTCCTAGCAGAAACTGTTATCAGGTCTAACACCCACCCAGTCCACATCTACCAGATAATCGAGAAAAGCCACGAGCTCGCAACACGCAGTGGCAGGGGCACAAGTAGGTTTCTGGTTTTATCTTTCAATAGTTTTTCATTTAATTCCATTGATTTTAAAGTATTGAAAAAGCCATATTCACCCATCTTAAAACAGCAAATAACCATGTCTCTTGCATACTGTGTTACAAAACCTAATTTACAGGAAGAGATGAACTGGCAACGATTCGGCTCATGCCTCAGTTTACTCATCTTCAAGAGAGATGCAGAATGATTCTTTAATTAACGGTCACAAAACACTCAAAGACGTTTGATGGAAGGCAAAGTATTACAACAACCCTTTGCACATCCATTTCCATAGATTGGTCCATTGACGTGTCATGGAAAAGAGGTACTCTTTGAGTAACCAAACTACAATATGAATAAGCAACATTATAAACAGGCATGTGACGTTGCAGGCATAAACTGGGCTCCCAACTCGAGCAATGACTTGACCTCCACTATGGACCAAAATGCTTATGTTGGGTCCCTGAGAGAGCGGGGCTGCAAGCCAACTTTGGTCCTGCTTGGCATCAACCATGTTGCCAGCTATGTGGAATGGTTCCCACAGGAGAACAAGCTTGCTTTGGGTAACAGATCTAAAATCATTTCCGTATGCTTCTTTGGGAAAGAAAATGACTGGTAAGCCCAAGCCAGAGCAACCACGAGCAAGGCCCGGTCAATATTAGCCCATTAGGTTAGGAGCCCAATCAAGGGAGTCGTGTGTATCTGCAGGCTCTGCTGTATATCTGCCGTGGGACAGCACAATTCTGAGATGGGAGATTTCAGACAAAGGCATACAGCGAGAAGTAACGCTAGTTGTTTTTCCACTCTGAGCAAATACAAAGCCATCGATTCAACATAACCCTAGGGAGTGCAGTGCTGGCTCCGGCACCATGTTCTCTGTGAGATGCATAACCAAACTCTCAAAGGTTCATGCAGCTAAAGGGGCCGTGACACTATGAAAAAGTCACTGCAAACTAGCTGAACTCCAACTGGAGTAATCACATGCTGCCTGTCTGGTGTTTTTCCTGCAATCTTCTTCCCTTCCTCTGCCCTAAGATGATGAATATTGTTTCTAAGCCCCTGATATGGCTGCACTCATCAAGTGAAGTGATCCCAAAAGATGGCTCGTATATCAGCTAGTACAATCCCAACAATATTTTCCTGACCTACAGAGCAGGGCTGTGCAGGACTGCAATGCCTCTCATTGTTTCTGGGTAAAAATACGTATACATGCAGTATAACCAACTGCAGGTTTGAGCCCTGGTTAACATAGTGCCGTAAGATGGCAGGTAGACAGGACAGACTAGAAAGGCACTGGAAAAGAAAAGACATTGTAGGGAACAAAGACAGGAAGATGGACCAAATGAACAGAAGACGTTGCCCTCTGTGATCCGTGCATGTGGCTTTATCGTTTTGTTCTAAGAACATGCTGACCTAAAATGCATGAACCTGTTTCAACCCCTGAGCTGCCCCAACAGTGCCTATGCTGCTTGAACATCTGGAAATGTGATTCTCTTACAAGATTGCATTGACGCAAGCCAGTTTTAATAGGACACCAGATAGCATGCAGCCATTATTCACATATTTTTTCCTGGAACAAATAAAATACAGCATCAGGGTTTGTTTTCCAGTGGATGGTAAATACTTTTGTGAAAAGGTCCTGACTTCCCTAGCAGCTGGAATGCAAGCAGTCTGGGAAGGGCTCCCTATGGCAATAGCCATAAAACAGCTTCATTGCAAAGCAGCATGCACAAACACAGCATTGCACAGAGTCCTTCTACCTCTGTCCTTGACTCTAACCACAAATGGCGAAGTAAGCACGTCAAGAAGTCAGTCAAATCCACTATACTTAGTCGAGACTGGCATCCAAATAACATCTTACTGGCTGCAGAATCAAGCCACTTCCAGCGCAGGTCAGTGCAATGTCCTTTCTATCAACTCCTTAAACACGTACCAGGTTACCAATCCATTGAGACATTTTTGCACATCTAAAAGATACCTCGTTCAGCAATCACCTGCCTCCCAGCCTGCAAGAGCCTCATGCAAGAGCAATGAAGAATGCCTCTTTCCATTCTCACACTACTTACCTGGAGTCCTGGAGTTGTACAAACCTCAGTCCAAGGCAGACCTCCTACAAAGCAGTCATGTCCTATATAGTTTGAAACACACACTGGTTTCACATAGTTTCCATCCCAAGTCATTTCCCATCATGTGCCTGTTTAGCGACTGTTTGCTTTGGATCTGTGCTGTGCAGCAATCTTAGTAATGCCCACTTGCTGTTAAAAATAGGGTTTTTTCAGCTTCTGTCAAAGAGATTGAAGACAAGCCGGGCCCAATGGTGTGCGGTTCCAAGATGCCATTTAGCAAGCTCCTGTTTGAAAAGGGAGATCCCAGAGGACGGATCCATGCAGTCTGTATCTCTCCTACTGGGCAATACCTGCTTTCAGTCAGCCACAATAGCACCATAACCATTGCCAATGCTGCCAAAAGCAAAGCCTAAGTGCTTCTGTTCTCTCTGTTTTTCCAATACTATCGGTTTTTCTCAGGCCTGTACAGGAAGCCTCCTTTCATTCACTGAAACACTGCTCTGTCTGACCATAAACTTCCCAGCCAGGTAACGAACAGATTTTTTCTACCTTGTGCTGTCTTTTGGTAGCAAGCCAAATCCCAGAATTCATACTTAGGTTACACGCAAATTGTCCCCACGAAGCAGTGTTGCTGGAGGAAGGACTGGCATTGGCCAGTGGAAATTTTAGGAGTCAGCCCCTTATTACCACCTGTCATCCAAGATGATGCCAGTCTTTCATCTCAGTGGTAATAGCTGGTGTAGGATCCAACACCTGTCATCCAAGAAGATGAAGGTCTTTCATCTACACGTTGCCACATGGTGACGTTGCTACAGCACCATGCGTTAGTACTTCCAAAAGTACTTTCCTTTTGGAAGTACTAAAGCACGGCACAGGACGGGCGGTGACTGCACCGTGTATGCACCACATGGTTAGATTTCGCCACTACATCGCTGCAACGGTGCGCTATACCGGGGGAGTGCACCACTATGGCAACGTAGCTGGGAATCACATGTAGACCCACGTGATCGCTACATCCTCGTGGCAAACTGTACGGCAATGTAGTGCATTGCTATATCACCATAAGGTGACGTGTGGATGCACCCGATGAGTACTAAAGCTTAAGGACCCATCTACTTACGGCTGAAAGCGTCCTCTGTTCTCCAGGGTCACAGCTGGTGCCCCTATCTATTTTTCATGCATGAACCCAGACAACTTCCAGCTCACTGAGAAAATCAATTCCAAGAAGCAAACCACCAAGGGGCATTTGCCAGCCAGACCACATTTCTACCATATGAATAAGAAAGCCTCCAAGAAGAACAAGGACTTGGAGCTGGACACTGCACCAAAACAGCATCAGGTGCAAGACCTCATCGTCCTGATTCAGAAAACCAAATGTGATAGCCAATGGAAGAATAATACACAAAAGCCATAGTGGAGCAGACTGTAAATCCCTCCCTGTTTTTTTCATTTTGGAGAAAGGCATGGGGTCAAAAGTTTGCTCACAGATGTCAACCACGCTAGAAGCTGTACTGTGCTTTAAACAAGGGGGTCACTTAGGTAACTTTACTGCAGGGAACTTAGGTCAAATGCACACCAGCGGTATGCAGCTACATCTCCAATCATTTTGAAAGAGTCACCCAGCTCTGTTTCTGCAAGTGGTTATTGATACGAAGGGACAGTAGGTGGCACTCACCAACACACACCATTCCTGGGTGTTGCAAGTGCAGCTGGTAGGTAGGCTGCAAGCGGTTTCCTTCCTGCAGCTCTGTCTTCCTCTAACTGCTGCTTATACTGAGTCTCAATCACGTTAACAAGATGGGTCAGTTCTCAGGATCACTTCAGCACAAAGTGAATCGGTTTGCCCTGGGCATCTGGCGCACACAAACAAAACACCCAAGTCACAGATGACCGCAGTGTAAGACTGAGGCCCTTGAGTTTCTGTTTTCCTTCTGGTCTGTTGAACTGCAAACGTGGCTTGAAGCGTGTTGAGTGCAGCACATCTTTGTATGCCTGACCGCAGAGGGGAGATCATTCTGCTTGCCTGGTTTTCAGACAGGCATTGGAAAGCAGGCCGCTTCTCCACCAAACAGGTGTAGTGCCAATACGGCAGGGTGCTGGGTTTTTGGTGGTAGCCGTGTCAGTCTAAGGACATGGGCAGGCAAGGCTCTTTGAGTAGATGCGATATCTTTTATTAGACCAGCTGAGCATGACTATGGCAGGGTAACATTTTGCCAGTGTTTTTTAGGCCCCCACTAGAGAAGCAGAGAGAGGGATTCAAAGTCCTTGCTGACCCAGCACACGGCACCTCGGAGAGCGATAACAAAGGGGCCAGTGAACCGCTCTGCTGACGGTCCTTTCAGAGAGTCGATGGCTTGGAATTAAATATTTACCACCCTTCTGTGTTTTTGCCTTGCAAAATCAAGCCAGCTGCGAGTCTGATTTGAAGGAGACTCTGTGACTAAGTTTAGCAACAGAAGGAGCTTTGGTGATCCGGGCCATTCAAGTAAGACCCAGCAAACAAGATGTTTCTAGTCCTCGATTTCTTTTTTCAAAGCCGCCAAACAGTTTAGGTAATGCTGGGGGAAAAACCTGACTGGACGCTAGAGGGTTACCAGCAAGCCTTTATCTGCCGTGGCAGGGGTTGCACGCCGTGGGGCTGTATCCACACTGCTGTCAGGGTCCCCAGCTGCCCTAGCTACCTCTGGCCCCATGAGAAGTGTACCGCGGCATCACAGGCCTCAGCGTGAGCTGTCCAAAGCACGCAGGGCTCTGGGTGCATACGTGAAGGCAAGGGCACTGTAGCTTCACCCTTGGTACTCGAGCCAAACGGACTGGTGCTGCCTCTCAAGTGTCCACACATGGGATATTCCCTAATGCATTTTCCAGTCTAATTTGACATATCCCTAGAGCTGAGGCTTTCACAACATCCAGGGAGACTGGGCTACAGATGAATGTATCATAGCTAGACATTTTTTGTCAATGTGCAGCTAGTTGGGTTTTTTTTAAGTGAGACCATTTCTGTTGGCCAAAAGGAACATAAGGAAACAAAAGGGACTGTGATCAGACTCTCAATAACTTGCAAGCATTCAGACCTTGTGGCCCCAAGTTAGGAAGTACAGCGAGGCTGTCCTCGCAGTAAGCGAGCTCTGCACTTCCAAAGGTGTGGACCTTTTGCACATTTATACTGAAATGATCGAGTATAAAAATCCAACTTCCAGTTCTCTTCATCTGTGTTTCCTAAGGGCAGTACATTGGCCTGACCAACTCCCATGCAAGTCAAGTGGGAACTCTACAAGCACAGGAACTGCAGTGTTGGAAACTTATTGCGACAAAAGTATTGACACCAATGGTTTATCTGGCTCAGTCCCCAGTATCTGCAAGTATCCTACACCAGGTATGTCATGGGCAAATGCAAGAATCTAAAAAATCCTTCTGGGAAATTTCATCCCAACACTGCACAGGCAATGGGCATCTTATGCCTAGCAGTTTGAGAGATTAGGCCTGGACTGTTTTTTCCTACCTCAGGGTGAGGCTGGAGGCTGCTATGTAGCCTTCAAGGAACTAGTAGGCAGCCATAAATCCCCTGGATCATGATGTATGCAGAAGAGGTTGTCAGGCACCTGATAAATCCACTTGTGGCTGACAAGCCCAAGAGTGACCCAGCGTGTTGCCTGTTTCACAGATCCAGGTGTTGTCCGAGTTGGAGTCCAAGTTTACAGCAGGCTGCTTCCTTCTTTCTTGCTTTGCCTCCATCCTCTGGATCGAAGCTGCTTCATGTTGAGCTGCAGCCGGAGGCAGGTGTCCCCTCCAGATCGGACAGGATACTGCATGCTCCTCCCAGCTTTCTACATTGATGCTGAATGACTTCATATCATTTTTGCACGTCATGGTACCATCCTAGAGGGTGACCCTACTTTCTACAGCCGTCTCAAATCTCATTGTACAAAATATTGTTGGGGATACCTTGGGGCTCCTTCCATTCTCCTGACACGGCTGAGCCATTGCAACCTCTTCTTCTTGATGGTGCTTTCTAAGTGTGTCAGTCCTGAGTGCACCTCTCCACCTCTGTTTGGCATTTTATCTTCCCACTTTATTTTCAGGATCTTGCTCAGGCATCTTATATAGAAACTGTGCAGTCTCCTGATGCATGTGCGGTATGTCATCCATGTTTCTGAACCATAAAGCAGGGATGAGGGCAAGTCTCACAGAGGTGCATCTGCACCTTAGTTGATAGCTTGTTGTTATTCCACGCACTTTTCTGTAAGAACCCCAAATTCTTGCCTGCTTTTCTGATTCGGTCAGTTCAGTCTGAAGGTCGAGATTCCTGCTGATCACAGAAGCCAAGCAGCAAAAGCTGTTGCTGACACCAAGAGATTTACCCTCCAGAGTGATGGCAGGCACTGGTTCTCCCCCCCTTCCCCGGTACATGATCCCTGTCTTCTTGAGACAAATTGTCAGCTGCACAGAGCTAGTGAAGATATAACATACTCCTTAACATGTCAAGAGGCTCTACTTACTGTCAGATGGGCAGGAGGAGATTCTCAGGAGAATTTTCTTTAGTACTTTTTCCGTCACCAAAGTGAAGCATTTGAAGAAGAGGAGTCGCTTGGAGCGACACGTGCCAAGAAGAGGCGCAGATCACTCCTGGCATCGAGCCACATGCTTCAATAGCAAGGAACATAGGACCCAATTCTCCACTTCTGTGCACCAGTCTGACCCACTTCCTTCCATGCAGTTACTTCTGATTTACAGCCATATAAAGTAGGGGGTGACTTATTAGGATTAAGTGAATCCGTATAAAGTATGAGGCGATCTTCCATGGAGTTACTTCTGATTTACAGCCGTATAAAGTATGGGGCTTGTGTATTCCACATAGCTATGTTAGACAGTTTTTCTTAAATGAATATTGTCCTAACCTGCAGCGATGCATGAAAGCCACCACACAGCCTAACCATTAGACATAAAGACAAGATGGTGCACGCATTATAAAAAGTCTCTCAATTGTGTTACCCAAAGAAACAATGGAACTGCACCCACCACTTTCACCATTCATTGTTAGACATACAGGACCCGATATTCAATACAACTTACATGCAGAAAACATGCATATATATTCATGCCCGCCGACCTGAGAGGTATGTGAACAATGGTATACCTTTATTGCAGCAATTCTCAACCGGGGTGCTGGGGCAGGCTCAGTCCTAGCTGGCTACCACCCTGCTCCTCCGCAAGTGAGAACTGTAATAAATAGTTTATGAAGTGGGGTGCCGCTCAATTCCCAACTTATGGATGGGTGCCTTGAGTCCGGCAATGGGTGCCTTGAGCCTAAGGTGGCTGAGAACCACTCTACTATTTGCAAGCACAGTTTTTGCCCATGCAGTCAGTAACGTAGCAGGTGTTGTTCCAGGGTTAATTTACTCAATCAGACCCCTGCAGTCTACCCACAGATGTACATGCTGAATTTTGTAACCCATCCCCTGAAGCTGTACTGGAGCATTCGCTCCCTCCTCCCCACCATGTCTGTAAGAGAAGAGTGCTTCACTTTGCGGTGTGCTGCATGAGCCCAGTGCCATTTCAGAGCATGGTCCTGCACTTCTCCAAGCACGTGTTCCCACTGATGTTTAAGAAATGTGGAGAACAAGT